TGCGCGGCGAAACCCATAGCTATTCTGACGACTTTAGCGCCTAATATTTGGGCCCAGTTTTTAAGTACAGTAAAATAGAAGGATCAGCTGACCCTACCAATCTACCTTACTTCAGATTTGGGCCCCAATGAAAGGCACCGGAGTCGTCCAAATTCGCCACGAACTTCGCCGCGCGCACCCTCGGACGCACGACTTGACACACACCCTGGGAGAGGCTGTCGACTGCTCTAGATGGTTATCGGCATGATATGACCGAGGGATGGACGTGATCCTGAAATGACTATGTGGTGAAGGTGAGGTGAAGGTGGGGTTCATTTTTCGTTTGGGGCCGTGTTGTCAGCCCATCGAACTCACCATAAACACTTCTTACGTTCTCTTCACCTCGCCCCACTTCCACATATGGTTCGGAATCGTCGCCGACGTCAATCGGATTGTGCTGAACACGAGAAAAGCATTCAGAAACAGCTTTGTCAACGATCCTACGGGTTGCCGTATGTGAACGAGAGCGGACGGACCGGCTGGCCGCTTCCACAGGTACAGTTCTACTTTCCGACAAGGGCTCAGGTGGTGATTCATACATTTTCCAGCGAATCGCGTTCGGTCATTGTCAAAGGCTGGAACGGGAAGGTTTTCGATTCTTCGACCCGGCCTCTCCTGGATCGCCGTACTGGGGTGCAAGGACTACTCACGCCTATAATGTACTAGTGAAATTGATTAAGTCAGAATACTTGAAGCATGGATTTAGCGAGGTTTGTCGGCGTCTCTTCGATAGAAGCTGCTTTGCATAGGAAGACGGGCAGTAGTATCGGTTCTGTGTAATCGATTCGCCGCATGCGGCTGTCGCGAACCATTCGCTTCGCCGTTATTACACGTCTAGCGTTTTTCAAGCAGCCCAATCGATATGCGATCATTGTTTCAGGCATGATTCTACTGTTAGTCATTCTGTCTTTGTTCTTACCTGCTGCTGCAGTCTGCTAGATTCCTTCGCGCGCAGCGCCCATCTCGCCGCGACGCGACAATTTCGATCCTATTGCACCACACTCCTTTCAAATGTTCTACCAATTCCGTGAACTTCTCCAGTTCCTAAAGGAATAGCCTTCGAGTGTAGTTGTCATGAGTCTGTACGTCGCGCCGCCGAAGTTAGACCTTTGCGTGCGGCAACTGCGACCATTCGTTTCAGGACCCTTCACGTTCGAACTGCGCACTAGGTCTTCTATGAGCCGGATGGTGCAGATATCACCTTAAGGATTATCGATTTGATCGCGCGTAAACAGTAACTTTTATTCACGAGTTAATGCATCTGAGTGTGGAATCAGCGCCAGAATTGCCTTTTCGGACTCGACCGGGAAAGAGATGTTTCAGGCTGTCACTCCAAATATGTATACTGGCTCCCTATGGGAGCCATATGGACGTTGGCAGCATTTTTCCCAAGAGATTTCAAGGTAGGCTAGGTGAGGAAGATCGTATTCCTTCACTTCTCAAGCTCAACACTCTCAGGATTGCGATGATGAGAGCTGATATGCTCACAGTGAGCTGTTCGGGCCATTGCCTGTTCTATGGCCACCGGACTCCATCCTTCACGGAACTACCTATTCGATACTCAGACTTCGGTGTTATTCACAGGTTTAGTTTCGATAGTATCCTGATATCTCAGTAGGGAACGTTGAATTCGATCCGATTCAACAATTCCCAGGCGAATCTCCCCTATTTGGACCCCATCATGAGGAAAAGAACATCACGAGCCCGTACAGTATCGCTTTTTGCTTTAAGGAGTAACGGAGTATCGAATCCATTACCTCTACCATACGCTTGCCATCTACTAGAGGACGACTCGCATATCTTCTGTCGACCAGAGCAGATCGCACATGAAATCAAGGCATGGCTATTTCCCCTTTAAGTAGAGAGAGCATAGAAAGACCTACAAAGGTCTATTTCAGAAATGCATCGAGTTTATATCATTTTTATATGAAAAAGTCATGAAATTCACGGTTGAAGCAGAACTATGCACACGATCACATGATTGCTGCTTGGGTGATGCATATGTGGGTGAATTCCATTTCGACAATTTCCTCTTTTGAGTGGAAGAAGGGTGCAGCGGAGGAGTCCCGATCCAAGTGATTCTTAGATAGTTGCCTCGCTCTGACAGGCTGCCGGGGCAACTATCAAGGAATTGCCATGAGACTCCTGACCCACCAGCATAAGGAGGGCAAACACTCTTTTATCGACTCATATCAGAAAGTTAGGTGCTCCAACATGATTTAGCTATGGGATGCAACTGAGAAGGTACTCAAGGAAGAATTTCAAAGAAGAGGCAGAACTCTGAAGATCAGAGAAGGAGCGGCGCCGTATTACGGTCCCAAGGTGGGGAGGTTGGAAAACTTCAGTGGACCCACACTATACTGAGAAGTTCAGATAAACCTTATGCTTCGAGATCCCAACGGACTTTATCATATCTACGGGTCCATCCAACTAGACGTCGAAATGCCAGAAGGATTTGATCTAGGATATATTGGGTAAGTTCGGATCGCAGCATTCTAAATAATCACCCAACTAGTTCTATGTGCGGGCTTGGAATGGGCATAAGGGATAATACAGAAATTTTGGTGGTTTCTCCCAACGAAGGCCAGAATAAAGTTTCTGCGGTCATGGGTCAGTAGGCGCTTCTGGGATCCCTGTATCACGATTAGAACATCTAAAGGCCCTGGCGCGATTAGCTGAGGTTGCCGCGCGCGTGATCGCAACCCATTAATGATTAAGGACCTGACTTCTCACTAGTGGGAGTGGAGAATTTGTCCAAATTCAGTCAAATTCTTCGCCCTAAGGAATCATGGGTGTACATAGTTGTAAAGTGAAGCAGGGTCTCCCTGATTACCATCATCAGACATTTTAAGCGACGACCGGAAACGACATCGACCGGTGCTGATCCATCGTGCAATTGTACCTCCGGCTGAGACAATCCTGGCTATTATTTCCACGCAGTGTGGTGAATGCTGGCCGTTTTGGTTATCCCTTCACCAGGCGAGTCTCCCAGAAAGGCCTTTTACATCTATGTCCTACTTCCCGGAAGAAATTCCTACGGTTTAGGTGAATGTGCTTCCAGTATGTACTGTATCAATCCCATATGCCCGAAGGATAGCAAAGGAGTTCACTGATGCCAACTATGAGGTAGCCATTCAGGCTTTTCTGAATCGCCGAAACAGTGTTGGGCTTCAGGTGGAGGCAAACTTCGAATGCGCAGGGACACTGAATCGTAGAATCAAAAATTCCATCGGATCCAAACCCAACTTCACACTTGTGGTCGGTCGAACTGAAATAGCGAATGGTACCGTTAATGTGCGCACGAGAAACGACCTCGTAAGTTTGTCCAGCAGTTCTACATCTCAAAATACGAATTCAAAGCTACAGCTTTGTTCCGCTCCCATAGCTGTCCCTCATGTAGGGTATACACTGTCCTTTGCCATCTGGAAGTGTATACGCTATACGAGGGACAGATCCGTTCAGGCCTATGTCAACGAATTTCTGATTGGGAGGGGCAAAGAGGCAGTAGAGAGAGATTGTGTTGAGACTCACTTTAGGGAGCGGAGGGATGGAGATAGGGTTGGATTGAGCCATATCATCGTGAACTGCCGTATAAAGTGGCATTTAGCCAAATAAAGAGGAACACTGAGTGGGAAGGCCAAGGATGGGGTCCTGGAAAGCTTTGAAACAGATAAGGTCCTGGACGGGGTACGAACCTTCACCAGTGATTCTCAGCCGCCGCCGTCTTACCCGCTACACCATCGGAATCTAGGAGCCTTCCCCCAGTACATGTGGGCCTTCAAGTCCCACCAGAGCTTTTGCCTATATTGGTATTGGCCGTTTTGTCAAAGCGTTTGCTTTCAGGTCTTAGGTGAATTTACCATCAAGGAAGTACTTCGTCAATTCCGCTGCTTCGAAGAGGAGTACAGTACCGATCGGCAGTGCATCGAGGCATTCATGCGATGTCGTGGTCCAGAACGATCATGGTTCCCGTGAAGGCGGTTCTAATCACCTGAAGAGTCTGCTAATTCATAATCAATCCCAATTATTCAATAGACATGCGCTTTATTCACAATCTAACAATTCCCTTTCAACGCACCTCCTACACAACCTTACGGACTCCGAAGGTTTCCGCTAACTTACTGATTACTGGCTTATCAACGAAACAATAGAGACTTGTCTGTGAGCTGACCGCAATACGAGGTGCAAATGTTACCTATTTCTTGAATTAATTTACTACTTTACTCGAATGGATAAAGTTCACTGAAGCTGTAATGTTGTTGAAAGTCTATAATATGGGCTATGATTACTAGGTGTGGATAGGACAGTGAGTCCACATGGAAGACAAAAATCAACAAACTGTCCCTAACAATCTGCTGTTTTCAACGAAAAAAAATTTGCAGCGCCAAGGGGGTCTCTAACAGGCTTACTGCCTACATTGGTTCCTAGTTAGTTGCTTCGCTTCGTGGCATGTCATTAGTTACCTCAAAGCATGTCCGCAAATCTCAACTGTCACCCCAGATCACTGTTACGGGAAATAATGGCTTTCACTAATTGCGCAATAATCTAGAGGTAAGAATTGAAGGGTGGCTAAACTTCTTAGCGTTGGTCGGCCCTGCTTTTTAGATGCGCCCCGCATTTGGCTTCCATTTAGAATCGCAGTGACGTTTTGAATGCGTGTGTGGCCTATACAATAACCTGCGGTGACCAGCAGATGTACATTTCAGTACTTTAATCCTTCCATACGACTATATCAACCCATCAAAAGCTACGCATGCAAAAAAATGTCGGTAGTAATCTGCGGAGTCTGCGAAGTCAACCTATCGCGAATAGTTGTTTTGATGCTGGTTGGAACAGAGTATTATTCAGACGCTTCTTCTTTGTACTATAAACTTTGCCCCTGATTAAGCCATTTTATAAGCTCAAAGTATGCCAGCAGCAATTTTCCGAACGCCCTTATCTTTTCTCTGCAGATTATGGAACGCTAGCTACCGTACCTTTGCTAGCATTGTTGCTGATCTCAAGGCCCTTAAAAAGACTCGCTACCTGAGTTCACTCGATAGGGGCTCTGCAGAGCATCTTGACTGCATACTTCCGTATTTCCTACACAACCCTGCCTACATGGAGCAGTTCTCCATTATTAGTGTGACAGAAAGACTGTTTACTACTGAAAGTAAATTAAATTACCTATATATGCGTTGACAGATGTTATCAGTCTAGTCATCAAATTTAATCTCCCAAAAATAGAATCATTCCCGTAAAACGTACAACTTAGTAGGGGCAGCTCCCCCGAGGTCTACCACTGTGTACATATGGGTAACGGAACTTCTCCCCTATCGCGGCAGTCTCCCTTGCGGCATGCGGTAAATGTCACTGCAATTACCGTACTCACCTCGCCTCCCGCCGATCGATAGGACGCGATATTTCTCCTTGACTAGCTCGCTTTTTTATTGGATTTTATCGTTTTTTCTTCTGTTTCCCTTTAGTTTTCATGTTTATTAGACTTGATTAATTAAAATGACTCCTCCTATGTAAGCGGCGATCAAGAATGCATTGAAATTGAAGAAAGCGGTCAGCCAATACAAATAATTAAAGGACTCCCTACCTCACAAATTGCGCGCTCCAAACTTCCATCGCAATCCTGCGTTAGGCGGCGGGTGCGGCGTCTGCGACGCCGTGTTAGGGGAGAAGTTCCCGGACCCGTACATATATACTGTTACTGGTTCACTTTTAGGTCTTGCATTCTGGTGCACATTTCAATTTTGCTTCATCAATTTTATTATTTTGGACTGAAGTTTACTTTTTCATAGGCATTTTGTGGAAGAACTTGACTATGTTTTTTCGCAGTTTTAATTATATCTGATATTGCTGTTTATACAGCAATCAAATGCTTTGGCGATTGTGATTGGAAGTCGAATTTGTGGCGCATCCCAGAAGAATGGCAAATGAACGATCCACAATCCTCATTTAGCTCCTAATCAGAGAGTATTCTAGCATGATCTATCGAAAAATGTGTAAGTAAGGGAGATACCGATTTCTTTCTCCCTAAAACAGAGAGAATTCCTCACCCACCCTTGATCAGGATTATTGAAAGGACCATAAAATAGGATAGGTGAATGGTGGAGGAGGAAGGTTCTGTGAGTTTTTTCAGCAGTTTCCTTTTTCCCAATCATATTTCGATTCCTTTCTGAAATTCATCCAAATTCACCCATTCACGCAAGCCCCTGAAAGTCTCCCCACTCAAGGTGAGTTCACCTTGGAATATTTGCACACGGTACCTGTCAATGTTGTGTCCGCGAAATTGCAGAAAACGGGGTGTTCCAAATCGTTTGATCACTGGGAACTTTTGCAATCGGAACGACGTCGTTTAGTGATTGATTCCCGTCGGGCCGACAAGTTTTTGTCTGCTGCTTGAACGCCGTTGTGATATTCCTGCAATCTTGTCTGCTCTCGCTTCGTGTATGAAAAAAATAAGAACATTTTTCATTTGTAATGAATGCAGCTTGAACTTGGATTTTGCACCGTCTCCTTTATAATTTAATTATTTATCTATTTATTTGATTATTTAACCTGGACTGTATATGCGAATTCCTTAGTTATCTCTAGTAACTTTCGTGAAAAATTAGGAATTGACGGAACTTTTCGTTGAGTGGCGTTAAGTTCGTCGATCACATTTATGATTTCGAATAGGTACATTTTGATAGATTCTCATAATGGCAGTAATGTTTGTGAGATTCAGAGTCGATCACAAAAAAAAAGTAATTATATATCTTTGATGAGCATTGTCTCGCTAGAAAATTTTGATAATCTCGTTTTAACAATAACCTTATCTGATGCCATTCCCCGTTTTCCTTTCTCCCGAGTTTTCCAACTGAAACCCCGTCATAAAATTACCACGGGATGTTATTCAAAGTGTTATCAGTACTGGCTGGCCACTACTGATAACCGCCGCGCGGCTGCTTTGATCATTACCAATCGTCATATCATTGTATTGAAGCAACTCAGCAACTTCTAAATCCCTTAATCCGTCGTGTTACACGATAATTTCCTGCATGTGATTCGCTAAGTTTATTATATTTTATACCACACATATAAACTCTAAAATAAATTTTATTGTACACTATTTAAATTATTTATCACTAATTACACCAAAGAATTTCGGCGGGGTTGAGAGGTTGAGCCAGGAGCAAAGCGTTGGTCTTAAACGGGAGTCGAACCCGTATCTGTGATTTCTGGGCACAGTGCTCTGATGGTTACAAGTTCAGGGTGATTACCAATAGCTATAAGTTCACCCACTCATGAGCTCATCAGTCAAAGTGGGATACCGGTGAATGCCGGTTTAATTTCAAATGGAATAGCAATCGTAATATGGGTGTATAACTAAATGTATTAGGTGTGTAGTTATATTGATACTATGGTATTTTCTAAAGCGAATGGAGTGACGAATTGTATTAGGAGCCCCCTACCGTCTGCTTGCCTTTCCATATTCATCACATTACTATCAATTACTATCGCTTGCTATCATCCATTATCAATCGTGTCACGTCATCAGATCATTTTAATATTCGAGAGATTTCGCTCTGTTCCGTTACCTTTTCGAAAACAAGCCTTTTTTGCGTAGTAAATATATTTATAGATTATTCAAACATGCGTCTTGCGGCGTTTCTTAACGTCAACTACGAAGGCGATGATCTTCTGCCATTGATGCTCGTCGTCTTCAATCTTGTGCCTGTAGCGATCTTTCTAACTATTATGTCGTTCACAATCGTTGTGAACTTCGGTGTTGCTCTCGTTGTACAAAGTAAGTACTTAGCCACT